TCCCCCCGCAGGATTAAGTATACTCAGATATCTCTGATGGATGTTTGTCTAACCTTATTTTTGAAAATCTCCAAGGAATGCTGTCCCAAGGCTTCCCTATTTTGTCGCTTCTAGTGTTTAACTACTCTTAGAGCTAGAAAGATAGACTTTTTTCAAGTATCTAATCCTATTCTCCCTTGTGGTAAATTAAGCTAAGCCACAATCAAAATGGAGAATAATTGATCACCAGCTGCCTTAGAAGAGCAGCAGCTTTCACATATTGGAATACCAATAGCACATTCCCTTTTATTTATGTCCTTTCTAGATTAAACCACTCAGTTTCTTTGGCCTTTCCCCACTGATTAGGTTTTGAGAGTCTTTTTTTGGTTTGGGTTTTTTTTTATGTTTTCTTGCACTTAGCTGATTTAACTACAAAAATTAATTTTGTATGCCATTCAAACCTGGACAGTGTAAAACAGCTAGTTGAGCTAGTTGGCTCAACTGTGGAGAGGGTAATATATAATACTATACCAATAGCATATTTTAGATATACGCAGCATACAAACAAAGGTAAGTTCTATAGCTTAATAAGTTTTTCCTAGTTCTCTCCTATGTTATCCCTGGGATAATCAGGAGTGATGGCAGCAGCCTGTTCAGCTGCTATTTCTGTCCTCTCCTGAGCCTGAGCTCCTCTCCACAGCGTGGCTATTTCTACAGCTGATAAATCTCCATCTTGTGTGTACGTATTTGCTTTGTCCTTCTGCCATGTAGCACTTGCACCGGGCTGTTTAAACAATCTGTTTTCACCCTCAGCCACACATCTGCTTTCCTTTATCTCGCGTGTGCTTGATTCAACTTAAGTGCTCGAGGAAAGATCGTCCTGCGCCCGACAGAGATGGTGCACGGACAGCAAGGTGTATTTCTCAACACTTCCAGAAATCACACAAAGCAGTGGTGCTTCCATTACCTGTGGGTTTTATTTTTTAATTTTTATTCTCTTGTCCACGTGCATAAAAAGCTCCTTAAATCAGGGGTTTGTTGCACATCTCAGCCTGGATGAATTCCTTGATTTTATCAAAATCAATTACAGCATAAGCCAAGCACATTTGTCCGTGCTGCACTCAGGAGTTAAGTAATATATGTTATTCTTTCAGAGCTGTAGGAACATATGTGATAAAATATCCACGGATCAAATAACTATTATGTCTCCCATACTATGGCTGTTAAAATTTCATCAGTTAGGAAGTAATTTCCATTTATTGAGTATTGGCAAGAGGAAGGGAAGAAATGATAAGTGGTAGTGGGAAATGCCTAACCGATTCAAAATGACATTAACATTAATTACAGGTATTAATGAGCTATATGGACCGAACTTTCTCAAACCCAGGTGTGTACAAAGTGTCCTCCGTGTGCAGACGCGAGCTGCTCCCTGAGCTGTTCACCTGCTCCACCACCCCGTGAAAAATAAGGGGTCTCTTAAACGCTTGGGGTATGGGTGCTGGAGTTTGTGGTCAATGGGTGGGGAACAGCCCTTCTTGTGTGGGCGTACGAAGGTGTGTTTCCTCTCCCTGTGTTTTCTGCAAACAGCCCCGAAAGCTGAGCTGGTCCTTTCACAGAATCACAGAATTTTCTAGGTTGGAAGGGACCTCAAAGATCATCTTGTCCAACAGTCAACCTGACTGACAAAAATAGACACCCACACAACAAACAAGGAGCATCATCACTAAACCAGACCTCCCAGCACTACATCAACCCGTCTTTTGAACACCTCCAGGGATGGGGCCTCAACCACCTCCCTGGGCAGCCCATTCCAATGGCTGAGAACCCTTTCGGTGAAAAAATTTTTCCTAATATCCAGCCTGAACCTCCCCTGGCGCAACTTGAGGCCATTTCCTCTCGTCCTGTCGCCTGTGACTTGAGAGACCGACCCCCACCTCTCTACACCCTCCTTTCAGGGAGTTGTAGAGAGCAATAAGGTCTCCCCTCAGCCTCCTCTTCTCCAGGCTGAATAACCCCAGCTCCCTCAGCCTCTCCTCATAAGACTTATTCTCCAGACCCCTCACCATCTTTGTCGCCCTTCTCTGGACCCGCTCCAGCACCTCAATGTCTTTTTTATGGTAGGGGGCCCAAAACATAACCCCAGCTCCCTCAGCCTCTCCTCATAAGACTTATTCTCCAGACCCCTCACCATCTTTGTCGCCCTTCTCTGGACCCACTCCAGCCCCTCAATGTCTTTTTTATGGTGGGGGGCCCAAAACTGGACACAGTACTCAAGGTGAGGCCTCACCAGTGCCCAGTACAGGGGGACAATCACCTCTCGGGCCCTACTCCCCACGCTGTTCCTGACACAGGCCAGGATGCTGTTGGCTTTCTTTCCCCCTAGTGCTTCCTCGCCAGCAATAATATTCCGTGGGGCCGTTTTATTTCCGAAAGCGCTTGTATGATTCCATTATCTCCTCGTTGCTCCTTCAATAACTCCTTGGCAACACTGTTATCTTCACATCCAATACTCCTTGTGACACCTGCAAAACACGGGAGCCTCTCAAAGGCACCACAGGAGCCTCGTGGAAGGCAGCAGTTGTTCCTGCTGCAGCCTTGGAGGGGAAACACACGGAGCGGTTCGGTCCGGCCTGTCCAGACCCCATCCATTATCCTCTGGGAGAACAATGACAGCACAGAGCTGTTCAAACATTCACTTAGCATCAGCTATTAGAAAGAAATAGCTCTTAATGTTTTCTAAATCAAAATTGGAGAGGTAAGAGGGGAAAATTATGTATTTAGTATGTGTCAGAAAAAAAAAAGCTAAAGCACAGAACCTTGTGTCTTCAGAGCCAGCTGAGGAGGAGGATTGTGATTATTTCTTCTTGTAACACCTTTTATGAACAAATCTCTACATAATGCTGAATATTGCATAGAGAAGTAGGTTTGATCCCACTTCACCCATCTCCCTCAAGCACAGGCTGTTCAGTGCCGTGTTTTGGAAGGTCTCAGCAGCGGTGGGAGGAAGGATGGTTGCTGGTGCAGCTCACGTAAGGAGCACATCTTTTTTCCTCTGAGATTTGTTATCAGGTTTTTTTGAGAACGTGGTGAAGACAAAGGCTATTTCTAAGAACTAGTCCAAGCCTCAGCTTTAAACACAGTGCACAGCATTGATTTAATTGATCACGTTTAATGTGATGCTTACAGCCTTTTCCCAGCACTTCACTGGGCGCAGAGGGAGAGGAAAGAAGCAATTTTCCAAGTTAGGACAAAACAGAAAAGATTTTCTATTGCATATTCAGCCTGAAATATCCTTTTCTTATGTTTTGGACAGCAGCACTACTCAGAGCTTACAAGCTAGAGGAAGATATTTCTACAATGCATTAGTCAGTGGATTGTCTTTCCCCCCGCAGAGCATTCCAGAGGAAAGAGCCAGGTTTTAAAGACTACGAGTTTCCGGATGGTGCCCTGTCTCATGGTCATTAATACTGTCTGGCATATCCATGAGCAATTTGCTAAAAAAAATTATGATGTGCAATTTATTTTCCAAGATTAATGATTTTTTGAAAACAATATCTACTACTTATCTTTAAAAACCCTCACTACTAAATCTTGAGTAAATAAATGCTGTACATTGATTTTTTTCTCCTCTTAAATGAATCCTTTGACATAGCATTTATCTTCAGGGCACTCTCAAAAATCAAAAAGTATTTAGGTTAAATTAATTTAACACACCTAAATATTGGCTTTTGGGAATGGATAGAGGAAGGAAATTTTGATTGTGTATTGCTAAATTTGGCTTTTTAAATGTATGCCTTGTAACTTGAATCACTTTATGTGGTCATGACTATGTAATTAACATTCTGTTTTCTGATGATTGTTTGTTGTTACCTGTTCCTATAAGGACATAGAGATGGGGGGGTGTATAAATCAGGAATAGTTCTACTAAAGGCAGTACAAAATTTGTGGACAAAGCCAAAAATAAGTATGAAGAGGGTAAGGAAGATAACAGGAAATTTATGTTTTTTACTACAGTTTATCAGCAGCCACAGTTTCACATCTGTGACTGAGCAGTTGACTTAACAGGGCTCAAAACACTTTTTTTTTCTAGTGTTTTTCATTTTAGCACCTACTTTTAGTGCCACCAGCTGTCTCCCAGCCACCGTGGGTTGGCAGGGGATATGGTGGTACCCGAGACCCAGTGCTGGTTCTGGCACGGAGCAGAGGGTGCACTGGGCACGTGCAACAGCCAGGGAGCTGGGGGTGCTCTCATATCAGTCCTGAAAAATTAATAATGGAGACTATTTTATTTTCCCCTTCCCAACACAGAAAAATGAGCTGTTGCTGAAAAACAAGGGGTAGGATTAATCAGCTTAGAAAGGAGACGAGGATGAACAGGTCTGGTCATAAAGGTTATGCGTTAAGGAGGGAGAAAGGAAAAATTTAAGCTGGATTGAAATTAAAACCAGGGTGTAATGGGACAGAGATAGGGTAGGAGTCTTTTGAACTGAGAATCGGGGTGATTTTCTCGCCAGTGAGTTGTGGAAATGGGGAATGGGTTCCAAGGAGAAGGGGCAGAGACCCATCACCCCTGACTCTAGGAATGTCTGCAGTACCCACCCTGCGCTGCCAGACATCCCCGAGCTGCTTCTCAGGGTTTATGCTTCTACAGCGACTCATTTGCAGGATTTTGCAAGAATCCTGCAAGGCCAGTGGCCTGTACTTTCTGGTTTCTCGCCCTATGGAACAGAATTTCCCATCGTGGAAAATGATGGAAGCGTGTTACCCACTCAAAGGTGTCTCTTCATGCTTACAAGCAAATTTTTCCAGCGTGAAGATTTATAATTTGTTCTTTTTATGCCTATGATCTACCCTATTCGTTTACCCAGCAACAAATATCTTCACAGCAGATGAGGCTTGAAGAATCTGACCAGTTTTCACCTTTACTTCTTTCTTTTCTTCAGCCCCTCCATGAATTCCCTGCTGAGTTCAGGCTCTGTAAGTATCTTATGATCAACCCATCTCTCCTTTTCTCTCTCTAGGATCTGATACGAAGAGATATTCTGTATTACAAAGGTCGCATAGACATGGATAAGTATGAAGTGGTGGATATAGAGGACGGGAGAGATGATGACTTCAATGTCAGCATGAAGAATGCCTTCAAACTTCATAACAAGGAGACTGAGGAAATGCACTTATTCTTTGCCAAGAAACTGGAGGAGAAGTTGCGATGGCTTAGAGCTTTCAGAGAAGAAAGGAAGATGGTAAAAGAAGATGAAAAGATAGGTGAGGAATATGAAATGAATCTCAAAGGAGATTGTTGGTAATGCTAAATTTAGCCCCAACTGTTGGAGAAACCCACATTTTTTTTAAGTAGAATTACAGTTCAACCTCATTGCTCTCACAGTCATAAATAGAGCTCTCTCCAATTCAGTCACTATTATTTTTGGCCCTCAATAAACAAATTCTGTCCATAGCTTCAAGCCTGGACCTCCGTGGGTAATGTGGGAGAAGGAAGTCTTTGGCCACCTGACTTCAGAGCCTCCTGGCTGCATCAGGTCTGCTCTGGTTGAGCCTTTCTCGTGCAGGGCAGGAGGGTGGCAGAGTCGATGCCTTATGGTGTGCCCTTCCCTCGGCCTCCCCCCATAAATTGACTGTAACCGGTGTCAGCCCAGGCTCAGTCTGTGTCGCTCAGCTGTAAAGCACTGGGCATATTTATGATACTGTATAAATAATAATGGGTCTAATCTTACTTTTCATACAGCCCCTGCACGAGTGAGATTATAGAGAGGCCTGTCCTTCCGAGGAAGAACTGCTTTTCCTTAGCACACCTGCCCCACACACAGCTCACTGGGTGACGCTTGGCCACCTGGGGTGCTCTGTGTTTGCCCAACAGGGCAGAACATTCCCCCCCCCCCCCCCCCCCCCTGCAGTGATGTTCAGGCAGCAGCAGAATAACATCAGCCTGACAGACAGCAAGATGCACAAGGAACACTTCATTACACGGCAGGCTGAAAGCCTGACAGCTCAGCACTGAAGGCTGGCGGCCCCCAGATCCCCAAAAGAAAAAGAGGCTTTGTAAGCAACCTTCTGAATTGTGTTTGCCGTGTTCCCTTTTTTCAGGCTTTGAAATTTCTGAAAATCAAAAGCGGCAAGCGGCAATGACAGTAAAGAAAGTCAGTAAGCAAAAAGGTAACCGGCAACACGCACTGTGCCTGGTGATGTGAGGGTGGAGCGGGCTGGGCTGAATCCTGCTGGATTAGGATCCAGCGTCCCCCTTTGAATTTCCTCCTCCCCTTTCTCTTTTTTTATAAAATACCGTTTGTGCTTTGTATCCTTTCTTAATGTATCTGTGGGCCAAATTAATCTCTGGTCTAACGTGGTTGAAACCAGCGGCATTTCACCAGAGATGAATTTGATCTCGTGTCTCCAGTCTGATGTCCAGAAGCTGTCCCTGGGGGCAGAAATCTATCTCAGTTGTTTATCTCAGGCTGAAATGGGAGTGAGTGCGGAGATGTGTAGGGGTTCTGCTAATTCCCAAAGTCTCCCATTAGCAAAGAAAGAAAAATGGCTCAAATACTGTAAAAGATGGTGAGGGATCTACCCCTTTCCAGCTTCTGGAAAGGGGACACATATTTCCTGGGGCTACCTTTTTTAAGAGAGCACAGTAGCATCAGCTCTAGGAAATAAAGTATATCTTAGTAAAGATATTATATCTAATTCATTTCCCCACCCAGGCAGGCTACAGCCAACTAATAAATGCCATGCTAGATATTAAACACTCAACTGGCAGAAGAGCCAGCGTTAATTATCTCTTGCAATAACTCTTGCAGCTACAGGTTTTGAAGCAGTAAATACGGAGGGAAAGTCAGAGAGGTCATTTTTCAAGTTTTCCAAAGCTTCACAAGGTCGTAGACATATCGATGCGTTACCAAAGTACCGCGGCACAACCAGGCCTAGAAAAGGGTTTTGAGAGAACTCACCACTTCTCGGCTATCGTCAGGTCCAGGCTGACTTGTCCCCGCTCTGTTCAGGCACTGGGTTGTTTTTTGCAGAAGTTGAAGGAGATCTTTGCTTTCTGCCTCACCTGTTTGTTGTCTACTGGCTTTGCTGGTCCAGTAGTGGTTTGCTAGGCCAGCTGTAAACTCCTTGGTTTGCTGTGTCTCTCCATTGTCATTAGTCTTCTCCTCTATACTGACTTCCTATGTTGTCTTCTGAGATGATGTTCTCTTAAAAACTCTCCTGGCCAGATTTTCTAAGCTCAAAGTGTGTGTGCACACCCAGGCAGGGGCGCAGGGCCGCGTCGTTGGGGCAGTGGCGGGCGCTGGCACGAGCTCGGTGTCGGGGACGGACCCTCACCACGTGCATGTGTGTCCCTCAGCACGGCAGCAACCCGAAAATTAGAGGCACTGGCTTGCATGATGGCCACGACAAAACCAGTTTTAATGATTATTTGCTGTTCAATTAATTATATTACTAATTAATTGAGGTGTTCGTTAATTAATAATTGTACTTTTCAGTCATTAAGTGACACAGTTCAAAGGTGCCTGAGCATGCCTACCAGTATTCCCACTTAAATCACTGGACTTGCATCCTGACAAACACAATGTGCCAACCACACGTGTTTCCTACATGGCAATTGCTCTCTTGTTTTCTCTCTTTCTCTTTCTCTCTCTCTTTCTCTCTGAGATGAAAAAGGAGGGGCTGTTATCTTAGACTTGTCTGACTATAAAATGAATTAGCTCCTAAAAGACCAGTCAGCGTTACTTTTATGAAGAACGAGCTTACGCTGTAGCTCTGGCAGTTCTTTTTATGAGGTGCAGTCCCGGAGTCAGACAGAAATTCAGTCAGACCCTGAGCATCCAGTGAAGTGAAACGGGTTATTTTACTTAAGACGTGAAATCTGAAAAACAACAAATAGGGTCATTAACTTAGTAGCTCTGGGTTTTTGGTTTGGTTTTTTTTTCCTACACTTTGGTAATCATAGGCCAGTCTCAGATTAATTAAATTAAATGCCAGCACTGAATGTTTTGCTGAAAACTCTTAGTTCTCTTACTCTGTGGTTTGTCTTGTGCCCCAGAACCAAGGGGCGGCAGGAGGCTGCCGGAGCGGGGACCTGGTGCCATGGCTCAGAAGAGGGAGGTAGGAGGAAATTCCTGAGAGTTGGCTTTTAGTGACTGATTTTTTTGAGTCTTGCCATATGCATTTTACATATATTGCCAACAATTTTTTTACCAAAGACTTTGGCAGGCACTTGGGACTGGTTGCTGAAGTGGGGTTGATGCCTGCAGACACCTCCCGCAGCACGACAGTCGCACTGGAAGGGGCTTTAAGTTGGTTTTGGAGCATCAGTTGGACCTGGAAAGCCCTTTAGGAGTGGGAACACTTCCACTGCATTCAACTGAACTAGTTATTAATTTAAATTTATGGGCTTTGCAGGACAGGTCTCAGTGGCTGCAGCAGGGCCTGATGGCTCAACAGCTCGACCTGACGTGTCGAGAGCCTGCTCCCGTGTCAGCGGACACCGATTGCAGACTTGTCTCTACATTATCTCACTTGTTCCCTCCACCCCTTAAATGGGAAACCATGGTAATTTCCCTGTCACAGAATACTTAAGGAGAGAGAGGAAAGCCATGAAGGAGGTGAGATGGAAAATGCGATCAACTTTGTTAGAGATGAAGCAGAAAAACATTTTTCAGATAGTATAAACTGCCGCTTCTTTCACGCCCTGCTGTACCACACCTCCCCAAAGTACTGCTCTGGAGCTGGAAAAGGAAGCTTTTTAAAGTAGTTTCAGCTACCCCTCACTGCAGCAGGAGAGGGAGAGGTGCTGAGAGATCAGCTGGTAGCAGGAACCTTAAAACTCCACTTTTTAAACTTTATTCAGGTGATTAAGAGAGAACGCAACTCTCGGTGTTTTGGGAAGGTTTTTGGTCCCGAAATGAGGGCTCTGTGGGTGCAGATCAGCCCCCTCAGGAAGCAAGATCCCTCCTACTGCTCACGTCTGCACAGAAATGTGTGCACGTGTGCAGGGCCAGGCTTCCTTCCAAAGCGATTTAAGGATGCACGAGGTCAGATTTCAGCCACGTACTCGGATTTGCACTACTTATTGGATTGGGCAAAATGTAATGATATTAGACCAGGTGCCTTAAGACAGCATTAAACCGATTTTTAGCCTTCTTTAAGTCCATTAGACATAAAGTAAATGGGTAGTGTTGGCTCTGCACCTCACCAGCAGGTAGAGAAAAGGGCCGTTTGGTGTTGTTTTTTTTTCTTTTTGCATTGATTGTCCAAGGTTTTGCCTCTCGGTTACTGCCCTTTAGCTTCTTTCAATGTCAGTGTGGTAACTGGGAATAGAATTCAGTGTGGTGTCTCCTAGAAATAGCAAAGTAACAGAGAAATTTTTTTGTCCTGACTTACAAAAACAACAAAAAGCCCCCCAGCCCTTTTTTAAGCTGCAGCCAAGCAAGCACACAACTTTTCCGCAGAGAAGTCCAGGTACCACCAAGGACCTTTGCTGCCTCACCATCAGGATAGCATGGAGCTGCACTTCCCAAATTGTGCTCGTTGTTGACTACAGCAGTGGAAACAATGCTGAAGTTCCCTTGAAAATGGATCCTTTGTGGATCTCCAGTCCATCCATAACATGGACGCAGGATTAGCCAGGGTACTTTTGCCATTTTTAAGTGGCTGAAAACAGAAGGCTCCTGGAGTCTCTCTGGCCATCAATCCATTCTCTTCTGCTGCCCACTTTCAATCTCCCCTCCAATAATTAGTGTGTGCAGCTTTCAGTGACATTCCATTACTTTTCTGATCCTCAGCTTTGTCTACATCTGTCCCCGTGCAGGACAGTGTGTGCACACAAGGGAATTTGGCTGGTGTTCCTGGAAGCTGTCAGAGGGATCAGAGGTTCCAGTGTCCAGGAAGGAGACCCCATTCTTACAGCACCCTTCCCCACTAATGTGTCCTTTTTGGAAAAAGAAACATCTGTTCCAATGGAAAGAAGTGTTCTTAGTGCTGGGTGGGAGGGTTTCCCACCCCAGGAGAGTTCCTCAGACCCATGCTTTGAGCTAGCTCCTTCGTGCCCTTCTCTCTGTCCTGTGTGTTCTCCTCTGCACTGTGCCACAGCTTCACCAAAGCAGATGCCCTCAGCCCAGACAAGTCTTTAGCCTGGTGCTCTGGGGCTTGTGAAAGCCCTGAGCTTAGAAAGATGCTGTCATTAAATCTGCCCATGAACACCCAGCCATGCAAACCCAGCAGGGGTTATATCTTCAGCCAGCATGAACCGCTTTGGCCTGCATTAAACACCTTCTGAGTCACTGAATTTTCCTGCTAACTTCTTCCTTTCTGGTCACTTGAGCTCATGGCAAAGTACGTCATAAAACCTTGACCCAAACACCCAACAACTTTTCCTTTGACTTCTCAAACTTCTGCACTTCAAGTTGTCCCCTAGCAAGTCTGCAGAGCGCGAGGTGATGGCTTGTCCTTCTCCTAACACTTGTCAGTGTCCTTGTGCTGGCTTCCTCCAGCTGGTGAGGACAGGTCTCAGCAGGTATTGGAGGCTGTAGGTACCTCCTACGGTTCTCCTCAGTGTTTAAGCCTATTTTATTGCCTCTCCCTTGCTAACAAGATTGACGTGGCCCTGACACGTTTCCCCATCCCATTCACACATGTCGGCACAGCCTCGGGGGGATTGAGAGGAGCAACACATGGAGTAACAGCTTTAAAACAAAGAGGGGCATTTGCATTTTCAGATAATCAGGGTCGCTTCCCTCTTCTCACACAGCTTCCCGCAGCCAGAGGTGAAAGAACGGAGCGAATCATGTTCTCGGTGGGATTTCCCCACAGATTCAGAGAAAGCACAGAGCTTATCTCCGTGCTTGTAAAATACAGACCTTACCCAAAACCTCCGGCACGCGGGTGTTATCCAGAGCCCGTCTGCATCTTGCCCAAGCGCTCCGTGCCGTGGGTCCACAAGCACCGGTCTCACTGGTGATCGTGTAGATAGAGATGGCTTCTCACTCCAGGCACCACTAACCCAGCTGGAGGCAGTAGTATCATCTGAGATCCCCTCAGATATACAACCTAAGGCAAATTATGAATAAATTCTTGGCTGGGAGACCTCTGAGGATGGTACCGGTGGCTCGGCAATGAGCACATGCTTCTGAGCGAACTCTCCAGGGGGGTTTTTT